GTCCCGCCGCCGTGTCGCTGCCGAGCCCTTCCTGAGCTCGGTGCCCGCAGCATCGCTGCTGTTCGGCCCCGTTAGCAGGGCTTGTCCCGGGCTGGAGTCGGTCCGGTTTGCTTGCAGAGCAAGTTTGAAAACTCATTTCGGTCGCCTCAAGGACCCCACCTTGAACGTTGGCTCGGGGTCCGTGGGGGCCGTAGGTCAGGTAGAGCTGCCCGCACCTGTCCAATCGTTCTGCTTGCTGCTGCTGTCCCAGGTGAGCAGTGCTACATGTGAAAGATAGCCCGCCTCAATCTCTGCCATATTAAAGTGAAGTGACTTTATTGCAGTGACTTCTTGCTGAGTGTATCAGCATCACTGTGCTTGGGCTGGACGGACTCAGAGAAAAGTTAATGTGGGGTGAGCAGAGTATATTACAAGCTGCTTCTTTCATCTTCATTCTCTGTATCCATTCAGGTACTGCAGTACCAGACCTGGTGTCGAGTGTTGGAGCAGCAAGTGAAAACTGGAGGGGTGAGTGTGCAGGTTGTGAACTAAAAAGGGTGTATCTAATGTTCCCAAATGCAGACTGATAAAAACCCTCCACAAACGAAGGAGAGGAAAGCAGACTTTCACTGTCTGAGGATTTTTCTGTGATCGTCAGTGAGTTTTCCCATTAGTGTTTTGTCCAGTTGCAATTCTTAGAGCAGTTAGTAGTCCAGAAGACCCAGCTGAGGATTTTAATTTTGTTAAATAGTGCTTCATTGGAGTAACATTTTTCGTGGTCTCAGGAGAGGACTGTGCTGCATGTTACATGATACAGCTGTCCTGTAAAGTTGAAACAACTTTTTGGGAATCAGGAAAGCTGGTGGTCAGTATACAGAACTGGCTCTATGCTTTTCTTTCTGCTTCATGGCTAAAGTAAACCTAGAAGCCAAAGGGTGGAAGAATAGAAGAGTATTCCCAGGCATCAAGTCCAAATCATGAACTTGAGTTCATGAACTGAGAACACATAGCTTTGGCAGAGTGAGGAGTGCTATCACACTAACACCCTTTTCCTCCCTCTTCCATGTAATCACAACACTGTTACACCTGGAAGAAGCCATGTTCCACCTGTTAGAGTTCCTGAGATACCAAAAAAATGGACAGGAAAATGGTAGATGCTGACAGTGGTGAAGGAAACACCGTCATTTGACTAAACATTTCCTTTCTTCTTAAAGGGATCCCTTCCGGGCAGGTGGAAAGCCACAGCAGACCGCAGCCTGGAGAAAGCACTGCTTCAGGTGGAAGAGGAGCAGCAAAGGTACAAGGAAGAAGCATTTCTTCATACTTGGTATCCTGGCTGCTTGTGGAAGTGAGGGAAAACCTGTCAGTGCTACCTGGTCTCCCCAAGAGACTTGCAGTTGGGCAAGCTACTTTGACAGGAGAAAGGTCCACAATCTGCTTTCTGTGGTGCAGTAATAGTGCTGTGTGCTGAATGGCTCTGCTTTTAGTGGGGAGGTGGTATGTGTGTTCTGTGTGAAAGGTCCCTTTCCAGCCTAAATTTTTCTGTGGTTCAGTAGATGAACGACTCTGGACAGTGCTAGAAAGGTGATACATCCAGTGACCATCAGCAGGGAGAGGGAGAAAATTCTTAGCAGTGGTCATTGTTAAGGTTGAAGGGGAAACCAGAATCATGCATGAAAATTGAAGGCTCAAAGCATAGAGAAGGAAATGATGTTTTCATCACAGAGAGATCTTCATTAACCTTGTAAAGTGCTTTTACTGCCTCTCAGACAAAAAAAAAATCAGTGTTGAGGGAGCTGGAAAATCACAGGGATGATGGATAGCTGTTGTTCAGTGACCTCATTGTTGTTTCTCTCTCTTTCCAAGGTGTGAGAATCTGGCAGAAGTGAACGCTCTCCTGCGGGAGCACCTTGATAAAGCCAATGAGGTTAATTCTGCCCTCAAAGAAGATGTTGGGAAACTGACAGCGGATTGGATGAGGGCCCGGGAGGAGCTGGAGTTGAAGGAGAGTGAATGGCGCAGTGAACGTGAGGTGAGGATAGGCTTTGGGAATGCCAGCTGTGATGCCAGATGGGAATTTTGTTCCTGACATGGACAACTTGCTGTGTGGAAGCTGTGGCTCTGCGGAGGATGTAGTGGTGCCAGACAGGAGTGTGGGAGGGAGGAGTGTGAGCGGAGGGTGCTGTGAGGAGATGCCCACCTTATGTGGCTGCACTGCTCGGTTGTGAAGACAGAGCTGGGCACTCTAGGGCAGTCACAAGAACACTTGTCTATTTAATAGTTCCTAAATCCTTGTTTTGAGCAATGGAGATCAGGGAGGTCTGTGTGCGTTCAGATTGAAAGTGGCCAACACAGGAACAAGACAGGCCTCCTGTAACTGACCAGCTGTTGTAAAACAACCTGGCACTGGGCTTGGAGGGGCTTGTGTTTGTTTTTATCTGCTGAGACTTGGAGGTGGTGAATCACAATCAGCTTGCTTTGGTGTGACCCACTGTTATGGGAGAGGTGTGGATGTTCCCTTCTTGGCAGATGCTGTGGGCCTCTGTGGTACCTCTTCAGTCCTTGATGGTGGAGTAATTATTAAAGGGCACCTGTTGATGGTGATTTATTCTCCTGTCTGAGAGATGTTACAGTGACAGTGAAGGCTGAATTGGCATTTCTTTTTGTCTTTGTATGTTTAGCTTTATGACAGTCACTTAAGGGGGGAACATAACCGCCTGCTCAGCCTGTGGCGGCAGGTGGTGACCTTCCGCCGCCATTTTCTGGAAATGAAGACTGCCACAGACCGGTGAGTGGAAGCTGAGGTGAGATCTCTTGCAGAAAAAGTGTGGCTTGCTTGCTTTTCAGCCCTGCTTTTTGAATCTCAGTGTTGCATTGGTTACAGCAGAAGTAGGATTCCTTCTTTGGCAGTCAGAAGCAATGCCATTCAGCATGCTTTGGGCTGTTCTCAGAAGAGTTGTTTGCTGCTGGTCTTCAGATAAAGCCAAAGGGCTTGAGCCATGAGGACTGCAGAGGCTCTGAGCAGGTGATGACTGTGGTGATGTGTGGGTATGTGAACACAGGCACAGAAGTGCATGGACACCTGGGAAGAGACTCACTGAAGCTGTGCACGCAGCATATAGAGTGACCCCTTTTATGAAATTATAAAAACCTGCCTTTAAAAAATCTTACCAATTTTCTTTTTCCACTGCTGCTAAGAGAAGTATGATTAATGCATATTTTTTCACTTTTCATTTCTAGCCTACATTTATTCTTGTCAGTTTGTATCCACTTATTCTTCTTCCAGCATTGCTGAGAGAAAGAATAGCTTCTTTACGCTGTTACTGCATTTGTCCAATTTATTTTGCTTAGTTTGATACATCTTTTTATGATTGTTTTCTTGTTTCTTGTTTCTCTCTCTGAGGTTCTTTTCTCCCAAGAAAAATAGTGCAGCCATAATAGTACCTTCTGGTGTCAGCATGCACTTGCAAAATCTGGTTTGTAAGTTAAAGTTAACGTGTTAATATTAACATTGTGAGTCATTTTTCTTAATTGATTATGAGTTTTCCCTATTGTGTAGAGTCTGCCTGACCTGGTATTTAGTCCTTGTATTATTTGTGCTTTTACATTACAGCATTTCAGGCTGATTCTTACACCACCTTTCTGAAATGCTTTATTATATAGGTATAGTCTTGAGCCTCTTAACAAGTCCAAGTGGGGATGAAAACGGAGCACTCAAGAACACAGTGTATAAAAGCTGGGGATCTTGGTAAAATTCCTGATATGTATTAATGATAATTAGAGTATGATAATAAGAGTAATTAGAGGTGCTTGTGGCCTTCTGGCCTGTACCATATCTTACTTCTTACATCTGAGGAGAAAACAGACTCCACTCTTGGCAACCTGGTAAAGTCATTACTCAGCTGTCAAGATGTGTCCTGGTCCCCCAAGTATCAGAGGAATGACTTGTCCCCAGCAAAGATGTCACCTTGCCTGCCAGCATTTCCTGATGTATGATTGCATGCTTCAGAAGTGAATCAGCTGGTAAAGATGGTGGAATGAACATTGGCTCTTTCTTGGTTCCTCTTCAGAGATTTGTCAGAGCTGAAGGCAGAACAAATGAGGCTTTCTGGATCTATTCTTGTGAACTGCTCCCGCCTGAACTCCTGTGTGCAGCTCAGGAAGTCCATCCCTCTGGGTAAACCTGTCCAGAAGGATCAGGCAGAGCAGCAAGTGGAACCAAAAATAAACCAGACAGCTGAGGAAGTGGTAGCCTTACAAGTCAGGTGGGACATGGAGAAGAAAGAGCTTCAGGACAGGTAAAGGTGTTTTAACTTTGCTATTACCAGCATTATCTTTTATGGCAGCTTCTTGGGTTCACATATGGGCTGTGCTCACATTTATAACAACCCTGCACAGCCCTGTATCTGTCCCTGGTCAAACTCTTACCTTCTACAGAAAAGATGGAAAAAGGTATCTACCTGACAGAAATGCTTCCAAGTAAGACAAGACTGGAAAAGAGATGGCCTCTGATAGTGCTTTTGCTGTTAACTGATTCTAGATGAAAAAATGGATTCAGCATAGAGAGAACTGTGTTTCTTATACAGCCCTTTTACTGCTGAAGGAGTTGGGAGGAATTTGCCCAGAGCCGTCATAAGCACTGCAGCACCTCCGTGCTGACAGTTCCTTGCAAGACTGAGTGCAGAGGCGTTTGGGGCAAGAAGTGCCATTTTGCAACATCAAGCCTATTAACCTGTTGAGATGAATGCTGCCTTTGCTGTGTTTCCTGGTTTGAACTTTGCTATGCTGTGCTTTGGGGAGCTGCTTGGCTCTTTAACAGGTGCTGGTGTGCAAAGCTTTTGGAATGGCACGTAGACCTTCTCTTCTCAGGGTGATGGAGCTCTCAGCCTTGCTTGTACAGTCTCAGAAGCAGAACGAGGAGAAGGAGAAGACCATGAAAACACTTAACGACACAGTGGAGATTCTAGTATGTTTTACCTTTACCTGGGAGATAGCCCAGGGTTTGCTCTCCAGGTGAAGACAGAAGTGTGGTTTCCTTAAGAGCAACAGTGGTAAAGATGCCAGTGTATGGGAACATCAGGCATCTTGCCAAAATATTCCTTGTGTGTTTGGCAGATGTGGAGTCAGTCCAGATGCAGGCAGTGGCAGAGGAACCGCAGGCAGTTCAGGTGTCTTCCTCTTAGGGGTGGCACCAATGCTCTTCTGCCTGTGATTTCAGGTCTCTGGGGATCAGAGTTCCTTGGAACTGACAGTTTAATAGCAGTCTATAAAAACTAGTTTTTGGTCTTCCTCTTAGTTTTAGCAGAGAAGAAATGGAAGAGATATGGGCAGGAATATACTGGAATCACTAGAGCAGAGACTTAGCAGTGTGACTGCTACTGAGGATGGGAATGCTGCAGATGGGAGCAGTTCTTCCCTGCCCACACTTTGTTTATTCTGTTTTCAGGAATCAAGCTGGATAGAGAAAGAATTTGCAGCTTCATTGACTAACAGTGCCAAAGAAGAGAATCTTTTACTTCAAAAGCTCATTAAAAATATCACTGAGGTGAGTATAGACCTGGTACAGGGACCACATCCCTGTAAATTTGATTTTGAAGAACTTGAGGAAGGGAACAGACTGGCCTAGGGGTTAGAGATAGTACACAATATCTATCTGTGTTAACTACCGTTGCCTTTTTAATTTTTAGACCACTTTTCTGACACAGAACCTGTTCTAGTTTGTGAGTTGCTGTGACAATTCAGCTGAGTCATTAGAAGTTGCCTTCACCACCCTGCTAAGGTCTCTCTTGGACTGTGTTTTTGGAGAGTGCTACTTGACATTGTATTCCAGTGTTTCTTGGGCAATTCCCTCACCCTCTTTGAGCAATGAGTCTGTTGTTCTTCAACAAGTTCACTGACTCCATTGATGCACTTACCAGCTCTGCTCCTTCCCTCTGTGTTCACTGACTATTATAATCTTCCCAGAACTGCAACTTTCAAGGGTAACATTTAACTTAGTCCTAAAGTTCTCTTAATAGAGGAGGGTTTAGTTGTTAGCTCTTCTACACAGCAGTGAGAAGGTAAGTGTTCACTTAAAACACTTGTGAAGAGGTGTATTCAGAAATCCCTGGAGTACTTGTAGCCACAGGGACAAACCTTTTTGGACTGAAGAAATGAAAGAATTGAGTTTTTAATGACTCCAGGGTAAAGTAGGAGGAAAAGGAGAACAAGATAAAGAAAACCAAGTAAATTTGTGTAAAGACTAACAGCTGGATGTGGGCTTTCAGATGGTGCTAGATGACAGTGACAGCATGGTCAGCATTATTTGCACTGACAGTTCCCAGCATGCAGTCTCTGGGGACATCTTCTCAGCTCCGAGATCTGTTGATGCAGGACATGCCTTTGGATTGGTTCTGGAGGCACTGGCAAGGATGCGAGGGGCAACACAGGTGAGAACTTCTGTGTCTACCCCAGTGGCCACAGGTTCAGTGCTCAGGCCTTGCTCAGCTCGACACCTTTCCCTTTGCTCAGCCACTTGAGGCATTTTTTCTCACCTTCATACTCATGCTCTTGCACTGCTTTGCTGGTCTTTCCAGCTCTGTTCTACTGTTTTTCTTTGCTTGATGCCCACCCCCTCAGCACAGCTTTTGCCTTCAGGGGAGCTGTCTCTGCTAGCTGTTTCTTCCTGCTCTCTGGAGCCACCATCCCTGCTTCTTATTGCTCATTTGTGCTCCTTCCCTGCTTGTTCCTGCAGGCCTTGAGAGAAGAGCTTTCTGCTAGGCAGGACTCAAACAACATTCTGCTGCAGCAGCAGAGACATCAGGAAGAGAAGTGCAGGGAGGTGCAGCAAAGGCTTGAGCAACTGGAGGAGAAATGCAAGAAGTCCAGCAGCCACCAACAGCACCTTCAGTCTTTAGTAGAAACACTCAGAAGGTGAGCGTTTCCTCCTCCTGCATTCCAGAGGCAATCTGCTTCCAGGTCTGGGAGTTCAGAGGTTTCTGGGTAAAGAAATCACCTGTCCTACCATGTGTGGCTCTTGAGCATCGTCCTGTCAGGGTTTTTCATGCTCTACTGTGACTCCTAAGGCTGTGTGGGAGATGCACAGCCATGTTGGAATAGAAGACTCCTTCTTCTCACCATACCGCTTCCCTGAATTCTGTTCTTTGCGTGCCCCTGCCCAGCCACTGCTTCTCACTGAAGGAAGGCAAAATCCTGCCTTCCTTTCCCTTTGCCTCTGGAGGATTTCCTTGGGAGGGAAAGAGCAAGGTCTTCCTTAGCCCACTGCCCCCTGCTCCAGCCTGGAGTGCTGGAAATGGGATTGGTGACTCTTGAAGGCCTCTTTGTTCTTCTGACTGAGCCTTGTCTCTGCAGTGACTGTGCAAACCTCGAGAAAACTAGGGAAGAGTTACAGGAACAGCTTGGATTAATGGAGCAAGAAGCCTCATGTCTGCGTCAGAGTAACGCTGAGCTGCAGATGAAGGAAGAGTCAGCCCTTGCAGAAAAGGCAGAGCAGCAGGACAGGATGGAGAGAGCACTCCATGAGCAGGAGCTCCTGTAAGTGTTAAAGCTTTCTCTGGCAGTGCTGGGCTTGAGGAGGGCAGTGTGAAGGAATGAATGGTTCCTGCTCCTCTCTTGTAGCATTGACTGTTTTTCTATAAAAACCTCTTTCCCCTCCTCATAGAGTGAAGGATTTGGCTGCACTTGAGGAAAAGCACTCATCATTGCAGAGCGAGCTGATTGCCAAGAGACAGACACTGGAGAAATTGCAGCTTCAGAAGGATCTGCTGGAGCAAGAGAAGGATGAGTTTGCCATGGCTCTGGAGAAGGTATGGACATCTTATTCCTAGGCAGCACTTGCGGGAGTGGGAGTTGTGCCACCAAAGATCACCTGAGATGCTGTATCTGGCAGTAGAAGAGAGGAACACTTGTTCATCTTGGAAAATGGTGATCCAACCACACAGGCTCTTGGGGTCATTGGTCCCCATGACCTTATTGGGAGCTCTGCCCTAGGAGTAAGTCAAAGACACCCAGGGGAGGTAGAGTTGCTGCCTGCAGTCTGGGATTTTGCTGCCTTTGTCCCATTGTTCTTTTGCCTCTCCAGGCAGAGCGGTCAGTGGCAGAGCTTATGGGGACTCAGAACAAGATGAATGCTGAAAGAGCTGATCTACAGGCTGCAGCAGCAAAAATGAGCAGCATCAATGAAGCTCTTGCATTGGACAAAGTGCAGCTGAACAAATGTGTGTGGCAGGTGAGTTGTCAGAGATGTTACTGTTTGTCTCCAGCTGCTGCTGCTTCTCAGCTTTCTTACCTTGGCACAGTCTGACCAACTGACTGTGGCAATGTTTCTTTTCTATCTGAGCCATTCTTTCATAGTAATTCTCCCTCTACTTTTATTTCCCCTATGCTTCTGTGGCTATAGCTGGAGCAAGAGAAGGAAGTTTTGTCTGCTAAAGTGGGTGAGATGGAGAGAGCAAGGATCTGTGAGCAGGAGAAGCTGAACTTCTGTGAAAGAGCAAACAAAGAGCTCTGTGCAGAGAAAGCCCAGCTAGAGCAACTGCTGAAGGAAGCAGAGGAGCAACAGGAGAAGCTGTGGTTAGAGCTTAGGACACTGGAAGAGGAGAAAGCAGAAACCCAGGAGAAATTCCATCAGGTAACCAAAAGTATGGTGCATCCATGTGGGCACTGGACTGCATGTATGGGAAGCTTTACCTGTTGGATTTTGCAGTGGTTTTGTCAAGGGGACACATGGTAATGCTAGAGGTCGCAAGGCTTTGTTGGCTACTTTTTGGAAATGTGTGGGTGACTTGCAGAGCTGTTCCACAACTCTCACAGTTGTTCTCTGCTTCTACAGAGTATTTTAGTCCACGTGTTTTTGTTGGCCTCTTTTTTGGCTCTTGATAAGCAGCAAAGAGATGACTCTGTTGTCCATGAATTTGAGTGGGTGGCAAAAGATGCAGCAGAAGAATCAAACCATGGCAAAAGGATCAAACTGTGTAGCTCTGAATTCTATTTCTGAAACAAAAAAACAGGTCTGCACGTTTTTGTTGATGCTTTTTGTCATGAAGTTGAAGTATGTCCAGAGAAGGTAATGGAGCTGGGGAAGGGTCTGGAGCACAGGTTTGACAAAGAGCAGCTGAGGGAGCTGGGGGGGCTCAGCCTGGAGAAAAGGAGGCTCAGGGGGCACCTTCTTGCTCTCTACAGCTTCCTGTGACAGGAAGGTGCAGCAGCTGAGGGTTGGGCTCTGCTCCCAGGGAGCAAGGGACAGGACACGAGGAAACTGCTCCAAGCTGTGCCAGGAGAGGTTTGGACTGGGCGTTACAGGATAGCTGCAAGAGAAGGGTTTGTTTCTGATGGTCCCTCTCAGACAGTCTCCGTTCTGGGGTATGTGGTAGGTTTGGCAAATACACAGCAGAGATTTTGCTTTTGAAGAAAAGAGCTCAAAAACACGGTTTGGTCATCTGGCTTGAATAGCAGCAAGGGCCATTAGACACCTTCTTTGTGTAAGACAAGTCAGTGGTATTGTTGGTGTGAATTGCTGCACCAAGACATCTGCATTGGCCACATCAGCCAGACTTCCATCAGTCACTAAATGTCTGCTCACCACAAGAGCCATTTCCCTGCCAAGCATCCCCTCGTTGCAGAGAGCTGCTCTGAACATGTGGAGAGGTGACACTTTGATGGGGGTTTTGTTCTAGAAGAGGAAGTCCTGTGTATTTTCCCTTGCTTCAGGGAGCAAAATTGCTTTCCTCAACCTTCCTGAAAATGTCCAGTGCTGAAATAGATCCTGATAGAAATTTTGTTTGCCAAGTGGCACTTGAGGAAGATGCATTACTTTTGGGTAACAACATCACGTTTGGAGTAGGGATGTTTGTTGGCAAGGAGCTGTCAAGTCCCAGGCAAGGCAGCAGGGCCTGACACAGCAGCTCCAAGGTAACAGTGGCAGAGGCTTTTGCAGCCCAGGGTATCAGAGCTGCATAGGGCAGTGCTGTGAACCTTGGAGGCCAGAGCACAGGTGCTCCTTGTCCTCTGGCTGCCTGTGAGGTGGCACTGGCTGGCTCTGCACAGGGCTCCTGAGGAAGGGCTCAAGCTGTACCTTGTCCTGTTTCCAGGTTTCCCAGGAGCAAGAGTCATCGAGCAGGGCCCTGGAGCAGCTGCGCCAGCAATCCTCTGGCCAAGGGCACGCACTGGCCCAGGTGTGCAGAGAGAAGGAGCTGCTGGGCCAGGAGAAGGCTGCCCTTGAGGGACGACTGGCAGCTACAGAGCGCCATCAACATGACCTTTCCAAGCAGCTGACAGAGACCAGGTAAAGGCAGGGAACAGACCCTGGGCAGGACAAGGCTGAAGGTCTATAATGATAAAGATGGTAAGCACTACACAGGAGTGTATTGTATCCTCTGTGCTTTTCACATGTAGATTTGGCTGTTGAGGTCGAGTTGGGCTGGGCTGTGTGTGCTGTGCCAGGCCATAAGGAAGGCCAGGGCACTCCCTCAGAGGGCCCTGCTTTGCTATGGAAATGGCACAAAAGTGGCTTCTCTGGACGAGTTTCCATGTGATCCATTTTCCCTACTGATGTGTGGGGATCTTGAGCCTCGTTGTCCTGGAATAACCAGCTGTGGGTGTCAGGAGCAAGCAGCTCATGTCTCTCTGTATTTGCAACTTGTAGGTCAGCAAAGGAGAGCCTGGAATCCAGCCTGTTTGCTGCTCAGCAGCAGATATCTCAGCTAGAGATCACCAGGAACCATCTGGAGGCTCAAGTGCTCACAGTCAGGGAGGCCAAAGAAGTGATACAAGGTGAGGACCTCGTGTGCTTTGTTTGTGGTGCTGCCTGTGCCTAGAGAAGCTAAGCACCCTGTAAAGCCACCTCTGTCCACAGGGCTTCTGAGGAGTGGTGGGGCTGGAGGCACTGAAAGGGCCTGAGGTCAGTAAAGTTAGCAAAGACTCTGACTCCTGCTGTTGGTGATGTTTACAGGAGAAGTGAAATGCCTGCTACAAGAGCTGGAAGCAGAGAGAGCTCTCAGGAGAAAGGAACAGGAAGAGAGAGCTCAGCAGCTCTTGCAGGCAGAGCAGCATCATGAAAGCCTCAGGCTTCAGGGAACAGCTCAGCAAATGGAAATAAACAAGCTCCTGCAAGACCTGGTAGGGGACAATATGCTTCTGAATTGTCCAAGCTGGGCCTGTGGGAAGGTTTAGCACAAGCAGAGCCTGAGGATGAGAAAGGGCAGCAATCCTCTGCCAGAGGCCTCTTGCTGCTGGGCTGGGCAGCAGAGCCAGCAGCTCAGACTTGGAGGTGTGTGAAGCCCCCCAGGATGGTGCTGGGACAGTAAATGCAGCCACGGCTCCAGTGAGGGCGTAAGACGAGTTCCAGAGCAGGTTGGGCAGTGCCCACCCAAAGTGTGACAGCCCAGGGCAGGATCATCCCTGAGTCCCTCCTGCCACGGAGCAGATGCCATCATGCAGCAGATGCCAACATGGAGCAGATGCCAACATGGAGCAGATGCCATCAGTGCCGCTGGCTGCAGGAGCGGGAACTCGGGTCCTT